GACAAATAAGACCCAAAAGCATGTCTGTGTCTGTGTATTTGAGTGTTTGTACCTCTTGATCGAGGACAGTAGCTGTGATCTCCACCAGCACCGTGGGCAAGTTATGTCCCGCCTCGCTGTCACACACCTCCTTCAGCAGCACTTCGCTGCTATAGTGAACCATTTTCCTGATCAAAGCCAGACTAGCTTTCCTGAAAACCATCAAAATAGAAACATGCAACTTCATTTTTCTAGTGAGAACTCCCAGCCTGGTTTTAATTATAGACAGCAGTTCCTTTTATGTCCACTTCTGCTCCTTTAATTAAGATTTGCACTGGACATAGTAGTGAAGTTTGATTCAGAACAGAAAGAACACAATGTAATATGATTTGATTAACTCATGTAAATTCGACAATATTTACAGTTTATCTGATGTAGCCCAGTAAACAATGGTAAATTAAGGTGAATGAATGGCTGCTGCAGAGTGCTTAGACACTGTCATTTACCTAATAGAAGGCAGCATGGTATGCTGAAATGTTTGTGCAAAAACAGGCAGAAGTCTCTTTAGGTAGATAGGAGCCATTTCTGGGTCTCCTTTGGGTTCACTGCCCTCCTCCTCCTCTTTGTTAAGATCTTTCTTCTTCTTGTCATCACTCTTGTTCACTGGACACATCCAGTCTCCTGAAACACACAGATGGTTTGCCTTTCGAGACCGATAGACATTTATGCATCACTCTCACTCACAGCAAAACCAAGTGCAGGTAAGCATAAAGCACATCTACTGTAGGTGCAAAGGGCCTGGTTAATTGGGTTAATTTCAGTTTTTTTGTAGACATTGCAAGGAAACTTCACTTTTTGGCATAAGAAAGGCAAAAGTGCAAAATTAACACAAGTCAGAGACAGAAAAGGCACGTTACAATGAAATGATATAGCAGCTGAACCAGCAATAGCAGTAGTGGTCTTGCATAGTCCTGGTTTACTTACCAGGAGACTGCAGTATAGCTACAACTTCACTGTGTCCCCTCTCCCTAGCCTTGTCCAGAGGTGTTTTTCCATCCTCATCCCTCAGGTCAGGGTTGGCCCCATGACGCAGGAGAGTCTGCACACACACATTACAAAGGAAGCAATGCAAAAAAAAAAAAAAAAAAAAATCAGTCAGCAAAACACATTACTCCAGAAAAAAAAATGTTTCAGAAAACTGGACTACTGCAGGACTAAACGTGCATTTCATCCTTAGGAGCTAGCTGATATGATTAAAAAGTTAAAAGGAAGTGTGATGAAATTTTTCCAAACTATCAACACTCAGATTCATGGCTTCTGTAATATTTATTAGTTTGCATCATTACCTCCAGTGTCAATGGCATCGATGAGAGCATCTGTGTCCTTGCTACGGATACAGTCGATGAGCTGTCGGTGTGATCTCTCCCCAGAACTGTCCAGACGTCGCAGCCCTGGGATCCTGCCCGTCGACCCTGCTGTGGACTTTGGCAGCGCTTTTCGCCCCTCAAACAGGAGCACCAGCAGGAGGTCAACCAGCCGCATGGTGTCCAGTACACAGCGCTCATCTCCTCCCAGTGCTGACTCCATCGAATCGGGCAGTGCTGAACGCAACAAGTCCTGGACACCCAGAAAGAGAACATTTAATGTTGATCAGACTTCTTACTTAATAAAGTAATAAATACGTCTTCATTCAAGGTGTTTTGACCTACATGTGTCACTAGCGGAGACCCCCTGCAGAGTGTTGACAGCAGGCTGACAATGGTAGACACCTGGTTGCTCAATTTCGAGTCAGAAGCCGAGGGGCCTGCACCTGCTGAAGGCCGGCCTGGCTTGCAGGAAGAGGCGGGGCCTGACACTGTGCCTCCAGCAGCCGCCATGC